TCCTTACTAATATTGTAAATGCGAAAGTAACTCTGTCTGTTTGTTACTCTTTCACGCCAAAACTACAGAACGGATTTGAATGAAATTTTTTAATGCCAAAAAAGGGTTGTAGGGGTGAAAAAGGAGAAAGTTTGTAGGGAAATTCTTAGTTTTTGAAGCTACAACAATGAAACTTTCTTCTTTGGCTTTTTGGGAATAGGAGTAGGAGTGGGAGTGGGAGTGGGAGTGGGAGTTAGAGTAAGAGTGATGTGAGGTGAAAGTGTTGCGGCAAAGTAGCCTAACAAGAGGCTGCGATAAATGCGCAATTATATAAAATAATAAACAATCTAAATAATTAAAAATTTCCCCCCCCGCCCCCCTTCCCCCCGGGGGGAACCCCCGGGCGGCCCAGGACAAGACAGCTAGTAATGTAATAAAGTTTGAAATAAAAAAAAATAATTTCAGTATTTTTTATTTTATCGGCGGGCCACCTCGCGGGCTCGGATATTCGAGCGGCGGGACGCGATCCGTGCATCCTCCGTCCATCCCTGGTCTAGTAAACTAACCTTTTATCAAAGTTGAAGACGTTTTTAATTTTATCACTTGTATTAGTTTCATTAAATATTAGAATTATCTCTGTATCTATATGTAAGTAATATTATTTTTTGTGATTTGAATTTATAATTCATTCTAATCGTTTAAACTCTAAAGTTTTGCAACGAATTAAGTTTATTTCCTTCAAAGTAACATTTGTGAAAAAGATAAATAATCACGCGATTTGAAAGATAATTTAGGAAGGATAATTATAATAATATTGAGATTTTAATAATTCAGATAATTAAATAGATAACTATACAAAATGTTTTTCGACTATTATGTTTCGTATGTTTGTAACGTGATAATTTCGACACAAGAATTAATCAATGCGCACCTATATAATGATAAATTCATTCCCTTTTCCTAGCTTTTACCGAGACACACTGATGTAATTAAACTTCGGAAATTTCGTTGTAATTTTCAATTTTTATCCGCGCGATTGCACGACCAAAATGAACGTCGATTCGTGGACCAAAAGCCTTGGTTAACAATTTAATATAGCAAAAAACACGTAAGTTATTACGGTTGATGACTGGTTTTCGGTCACCTGGCTCTCGAATATTCCATAACATAATTCCGAAAGGACCAACCGAATACCATAAAATTATATACGTTATTAAAATAGTATTGAATTACGTTCAAGGTATCACGTTATAGCTGGTTTGCACTTGATGAAAGATGAATAGGCCGGGCCTATCATATCGAACTAAAATGTGCTGACATTCGAAAACGCTCTACTAAAATTCAATTGCAGATTCAACTGTGGACGCTGGTTTAGACGACAATCGTCTACATTTCTATAACCTATTTAACGACCTGATTATCCAACGGGGTTGACGTTTTACGACCTGGCTATTAGCCATACATTGCTACCATTAAACAACCACAAGCCAGTGGATTTATAAAAGACTAGCTGTGCCGGCGAGTTCGTCCGCTAAGAATATTTATTTTTGGCATCCAAATTCCTTTTTGCTAACCCCTTTATCTTAAAGGATAGACATATAGCGTCGCGGACTTTTTTAGATAATTTAAAGAGGAATCATTCTTTCGTACATATTTTTTGGGTATCTTGAACCATTTTTCTAGCCTCAGTAACGCATAATGATTAATAATTTTCCCGCTGTATCTTCGCTTGTATCAGTCACAGGGCGATGTTATAGCCTATATATATCCTTATATAGCCTTTCTCGATAAATATTCTAACCAACACAAAAATTTTTTTTATATATAATATACAAAAGCAAAACCTTGAACTCTTCAAGAAAACGTGTCATCGGTGATAATAATCGATAAAATCGTATACTAAACAAGTTTACAACACGGACAAAAAGTGTTTGTTTAAGTCCAAAAGTCCGTTCATACCCTATCCAGTGCTATTGACCTAAGACAGTGTCGTTAAGCCGAGATGGTGCGCATCAGACGATGACATAAGGATGTTGTTGCACTTGCAAACCTGGACCTTCATCATTGAAGTCTTAATACGTTATAGGAATTTGGTGTTGTAATTGCTATAACCCGTATTATATACGACAGCCATATCATGACGGAAATTAATTTTATCGACGTCATGACGGCAGTTTACGCGTGTAGAGGCAAATTAAAGTTTTTTTTATCGGTTTAAAACGTTTAAGATTATTGAGCCGGTCCTCCTATGACCACGGCTGCCGCAATGCCTCCGAAATGTCGGGTTATAGTTAATGTTACACATTCCACTTTTAAATAAAGTTTTTATGACCCACTATTACATTTTGAATCTTACCATTAAAATTGTAACCAAGTACCAATTTCTATCAATTGTTACTTTTACAAGACAATATATATGAAATTTAAAATCCAAAGCTATGTCAGCATGATTTTGGAGACCCTTCTCATCAGTTTAAATTAGTCTTTATTTACCAGTTTACCTTCGCAACCACCAATGTAGACAGGAAACATTAACGAATGTATTGATATTTGTTGCGCACAAATAATATTACACCAAATATTGTCTGTTGTTTCCCCGAGGTATAATTTAAATAAAACAGTGGCCGTTAAGAAATATGTGCGTTTTAAACCGTTAAAGTGTTTTATTTAAATATTACACTATCAAGAATACTTACGGAGATAACGGGACTTTCCAACCAGGAATCTTTGTAGATAGAATAATTACTGTCACCCCATATCTTGAACTTTGAACTCGAACGCGAGATAAAACTTAGATAAGTAAGTATGTTTATGAGTTTGCCAAAATTTGCTATAAAGACCTTGAAGTAGTGTTTTTCAATGCCAATGTTGAGCAATAAATAAAAATATATTAATCTACATTTTGCCTTCTTTTTTGGATGGTTTAGGAACGATCTTGGGTGCTTATTTATATTTTGATTAGAAATCTGATCTATACATTCATAAAGTCGACGCACTGGAAATTCCGACTGCTGTCCTTTTACAAACATATTCGTTTAAATTACTTTTTGCCTATACTAGTATTATAATCTTTAAACGCGCTTATCTCAGGATCTATTGGTCCGAATTGAATAACCATGTATCGAGGAAGGCTTTCAGCTTTTAAATCAGGCTACGATCAATACGAACAAAGAGATAGTGAAAAATGTGCAAAAAACGAAGAAAGTTGAACAAGATTTTGAGGATTTCCGTAGCGTGTCCAGCGAAAACTGTTTAAAATAAAAAAAAAATTTTAGACTTTGAAAACATTAATATTTTTCACATGTTATTGCACATGAAGGCACTATATAATTTAAAAATCGAAAATAAATTGAAAAAGTTTTTCGACTGTGGACTCGGTAGCTCAATTGGTAGAGCAACAGCACGGAAAGGACGATGCCGATTCAAGTGCTGCCCAGGAAATATTTTTTAATTTATTTTGCTTAAAATATATATGTAGACTTATTCTTCTTTTTATAATCTAAAAAATGTTGACGACAGTGTATGACTATCTTTTAAAAGTAACTGACAAGAACCGGTATGGTAATCGTATTTTTGGTCAAAGGACGTTTGTCATCACAGTTGGACTATTATATTTTATCACTATCTAATGTAGAATAAATGATTACAATTTTATTATTATTATATAAAATAGCGTTTAAGATTAATTTTATTATTATTATATCATATAGTGTTTAGGATTAAAATCTAAGAGTCCAAGAGAAAGGGCGTAATGCTGTTTCAGACGAGCACAAGGGCATCACAAATTCGTCATTAAAACGTGCCGACCCCCATCAGAACAATCACAGCAATTTACTTACTAAATGCGTTTGACGAATAATTCACCCGTTTCAGTAGCCGACCGGAACCAAATAAGAGGTGATATTTTTATTTACCATTATTAATACACATTTTCAAACTCAAACTCTAACAATTTATTTCACAAGACAGAAGAGTGCTTGTGAAATGTAAGAAAGCACTCGGCATGTGCTTCGCCACCCAGAGTAGAGGAGAAGCGCCGGTTTTCAGTGTTCGGTTCGGTTTTATAAAAGTTACCGACAACTACAAATTTCTAAGTGAACTAAACTAAACTTTAAAAGTAAAATAAACTTAGAAAATATATCTATAGACATTGAATGGAAAGTTGCCCATTACAAACAGACACGGCTACGTATCCGATTCGTATAGATAGAAGAATTTTACGAAAGTCACAATACAACACACGTCATAATGTAGTAGCCATTGAATTTTCGTGTCGCTATTTCGACGCGCCACACTCGGCGAAAGTTCATAAGCGTAGTTTGACGTAACACTGCGTAATTAAATGTCCACTACTTTTACGGAAACCAGGTGATTGTGTTTATCTTAATTCGGACGATGACGTAACTGACGCAATGCAATTGATTACTTACGAGAAGTGCGCATACGTCTGTCGAGGTTTTATTATGAAAAAAAGTTTGGTGTTCATTTGATCTATCTTTACGATTAAAATCCAGTACCAAGATACACTGTCGACCTATCTAGGATTAGGACATTTGAAAACATGATTTGGTTTATTCATTAATGTATTGGTCACGAAACAAATACCTATGCGTTACTTTTTATGACTTTGTACCTACGTTACATTTTAACTTTTTTTTTATACACGAGCACAATTCATTTTACTACGAAGTTTTTTGCAAAACATATTTAATGAAAATAGGATTGTTTAAATCATGCGAAACCAGCACATTCAAAGTCCATGATGATTATCGATTTCGCAAGCTTATAAAATATTGAAATAGAAATCATTAACAAAAAATCTGGTTTTTATACATGAATCGTATATGAAACCGTGCAAAAACGTAGCACTCGGGCCCACTTCAATAGTATGCTAACAAAATAAAATAATTCATTGCTTTACTAATTTTACCAGGAGGGTGAGAAAGCTAAGTATATGCTGGCCATCGTAAATCTGGGAGATTGTAAAAACGACTTATTTCGTATTTAAAATACAAACTTACCTTGGCACACAGATGGAGTGGTAAAGACCGTGGTTCTTCAGCACGTGGAAGAATTCTGGCAAAGTCCGGCACGCCCCCATGATGCTGAACAGAGCTAGCGATGTGTTCCATACAATTAGCGTGCGCCGGAGTTCAAATCTAAAACAAGACATAGGTTTTTATTAGTACATGACCTTTTAAATTTATAGATAAGAAAACCTTCTCAGGTATTACTTAAATAAAATGTCGTCTTAAACTTCCCTTACTTTTAATAAGACATTAAAGTAATTTAAAAACAAAAATGTAGATAGTGATAGAGAACCATCATCCAAATATCGTGATTTTCCGAAAACGGCATTTTATGTTTATAATCAGTAACGTTTTATCACGTTCTTCGTTTACCCCTTGTGACTACGGTTGCTAAAGACTTAAGATCAGGTCAAATTAGGATTTGCTTTTAAAGCTGTCAAAAATTATTCTATGTAATTTATAAATAAAACAACAAAGCAGTAACAAAAATCATTGTATATATATAAATATATAAAACACTTTAACGGTTTAAAACGCGATATATCTTAGTTAAAGGTTACGGCGTAGCTTAAAACATCTTACACATGTTTAACTAATATATATGGAGTTTTAAACCGTTCAAAGTGTTTTATTTAAAAAAAAAACATTGTACAAAAACCCACCCATCTCTACTATTTCTCGCCGATACTTGATAAGTTTATTAAATGTATTTCTGCGCTGCGATATCTATTTTGCATATCATGGTCATAATATGTATTAATTGGTGTATAACATATACAAGGAAAATAAAGATAATTCGTATTAACGAACATTACACCAGTAAAAAATACGTGTTTGTTTCCTTAAACGAAAATGTTAACAATTGAAGGTGTACAAACTACTACGACTACTAAGTACTAGTGTAAAGTTTAATCAATTGTATTAAGACAATTAGTGAAATCTCGTTGCATTGCTAGTAGTGGATCGCGCTTCTGTGCCCTGCCCAGCCGAAACCATTCGAAACTACGACCTATTTTAATTTTATAACATTAAGTCATGGAAAGTGTACTATAAGATGGTTTCTTGGTCATGGTGGTCCTGATGGTCTAAACAGCGTTTAAATACCTGTACAACCGTAATCATCGTACACCTAGTAAACAACGAATATTATTTGTGTTCAATATAACGGATGTAGTTAACTAATACAGCGTTTAAAACAGTTTACAGTGTTTTATTTTAATAAATATTACAATAGTTTGAAACCTTCCATATTTTTTTTTCATGTCGGCACTATATAGATTAAAAATCGTATTTTTTTTTCGAGATCGATTGTAAGTAGTTGATGATGCCAAGTTTACTAAAAGGCGCTACTTTTTGTGTCAATTTAGTTTATACCTATGTCTACCCGCGCCAATTTATTGCTTCACTGATTTTATTGACGATTAATATACACATATTATACATTTGTTAACCATCTTAAATAAAGTCCTGCCCGAGTCGAAAATTTTTTCAATTTATTTTCGATTTTTACATCTGAAATAAATTCAAAATAGACCCCGCAGTTAGATCACGTTTTTGACATAATCAGAAACGTGATATCTTAAAAAAGGAAACATTTTCATTTTCTCATAGTCATTATAAGTAGATTTCCCATACTTTTTTTTGTTGAGTAATTAATCCTATTCAAGATTATTAGGTTGATAATAGTATTTTTTTCTATATGGATGTGCGTAATTTCCGAAATAATAAAATGAACATGAATCATTTTTATTACTTCCGTTGGTAGGCTAAATTTGTGGACTGATCAACAAACCACAAAATATACAATCGGAGTCAACAAAGGTTATTTGTTTGCACAGGATTCGAACCTTCGCTATTTTTAAGTAGAGTGCGAATTGTGCTCCCCGGATCTTCAAACTATCTTAGAGCGCGAAGGCACGAACAAACATACATGCGCATTAAATACTGTCTGTAGTTACGCGAGTAGTACACATTTAAAAAACACTAATGGTTTAAAACGCGATATATATTACTTAATCTTATTTGAAAAAATATTTTTTTATCTACGGCCTGACGTTTCGGATGCACGGGGAGATAACACAAAGAAATAAGTGTAATTATTATATATATTGCCTGGAAGAGATCGCTCGTTAGCGATGAGACCGGCCATTGCACTCCATATTTTTAGTATATAAGTCTCGTTTATAATTTTGTTCATTTTTTTTGTGCAATAAATGTAAATAAATAAATATATAGTTTTAAACCGTTAGTGTTTTGTTTACATACATGCACGTTAATAATATTAGTGATGTTTTATCAATTTTCCTGGGAACCGAACCTTCATCACTTGTTTTAATGTTTAATTAGTGGACAGCGTAGTTTAATTCTTACATAGTACAAGTTGAAACGGGGCGTTACTCACTCCAGACAGTATGACCAATTAAAATTTCATTCATACAAACGTGGTATGATTCCGTGACAATTATTCTATTGGAGGCCGCTCTGTCCAGTCACGGCCACTGATACAGTTCAAGTTTACAGTTAATCATATACAGTTATTAATGCTAGTGTTTATTTCTCAGCAATGATATTAAAATACAATTAGCGTACCAAAATGTTAAATTAAAATGTATTAGACAGACAAACATTAAGTTCAAGGGATGAAAGGTGAAAAGCCAAAATCATATAACACCTTAACGAGATGTGTTGTCTACCTATTTTTGGCTTTGGATATTAGGAAAACAAAAAAGTGAAACCAAAACGCAAAACGCACGGACGGAATTTGGATTACCCATTTAATATCTAGACTTCCAGACGAAATCCAGCATAGTTAAGAAACATTATAAATTGATTAGAAATTTATTTCAGACGGCGGAAATCGAACCTGCTCGATCGACATTGCTGCTTGATAGTGCTAACCTTAGACTTAAGAGCTAATCAAATCTGCTGGATTTTGATTGCCCGTCTTAATACCCAGATTTTCCAGAAAGAAGTATATATTCCTAATTGTATTTTAGGTACATAATGGTGGGAATCAAAGTCACGTCCAGTTGAATATTAGCCATAAATTGCTACCATTCAATAAAACAGTGTTCCATCGATAATTTTATCTCAACGTAAGCTCTAAAAGAAGCTAAAGAACTATTTAAACAAAATGGGGAGGCTATAGAGACAAAAACCTTTTTTTTTTTCAATAAATTTTGTTCCTTATATTCGATTGGGAGACATCTCTTGCCTAACAACTTGTAGCGAAGAACAAATTTTGAGCAGTCTTCAATATCTACTCTCGATAAAAATTCTCCATGACGCGGAAACCACAAACCCATGATTTGCATACAGCAAAATAACAAACTGGTTAGGCACGACCACGTGTACATAATCGGCATTAATTCGTATTTATATGGTGAATATTATAAATTCGAGCGACAGCCAGTTAGCACGTTAGAGAATTTAAATTTCGCCTTTAAACTGTGACGAAGATACAGACAAAAGGGCCCTTAATGGACAATAATATTTTTTTAGCGAGCTCGTTGGTCTCATGGTACAATTATTTTCGATTGAGGTCCGACGTGTTTCTTAAAATCAACTTATAATATATCTGCTGATAGATTCTATGCTCTTAATTTGAGAAATTAGGGTCTTTATATTTTTTTTTTTACTTTTTTTAACGTGAATAATAGAGGACAGACGTCCTAATCATTCACGTTCACTTGATGGTAAGTGAAATACCCCAGCATCCAAACAAAATGCCCGATCTATTTTGGCTTTGGATATTCGGAAATTCGTTTTTACTGTTCATAAGTGGACCTAGTATATACGACAAGTTTGATTATGTCTGGAAAATCAATACATATTTAAATAAAATACTTTAACAGTTTAAAACGCGATATATTAGTAAAACTTATTGGACATATAAATTTTAACATATTTTGTTTGGTTTAGCCAGGGCACAGAAGTCTGATCAACTACTTGCCCGTTAAAAGAACTGAACAGTGAAACAGACGCAGAAATGTGTTCGCTTTTCTTAGGAATATAGAAATTCCGTCCGGATCACGAACCACGTGTCGGTTTCAGTCTGTAGATTTCCGAATATCCAAAGCCAGCGTCGACAGCGCATCTTGTTTAGGTGCTTTAGGCTAGGATATATCACCTTCCATCAACCGTATGCTTGTCTGTTCTCTATTATTAAAAAAGAACAAACATCAGTAATAATGTATTGTTTTCATAGATAATATTAATAACAATTAAATATGTATATCAATTAGTATTTGATTGCTATCGGAAGATTGCGTTAATTGTTTATGCCAGAAGTAATAAATTTAAAAGATAATTTTCTATATGACATAAGTGATTAATTAAGAAATAGATAATTCTTTACCTCAATGTTGATAGTGATAATTTTTAGTACGATGACCTCATTGTTTTGGTTAAAACGATAAATAAAGTATTCACATTATCTAATTAAGGTCTATTTATCTCTTATTGGTGGTATTCTTCAATAATATGTACAATCCCGTTTCCCCGTCATGGGGCATGGGGCGAACACATTTTCGTGTCCGTTTCACTGATCAGTTCTTTTAAGGGCAAGTATTTGATCAGACTTCTGTGCCCTGCCCGACCGAAACAATTTTATGTTTCCCTGGGGTTCGAACCCAGAAGCTCTCGCGTAACACAATGCTAGACGATACGTTCAACCATTTGGCATTCAGAAGAGTTAAAAATTGAAAAATTAGAAACATGTTACATGAAACAACACGACCCGTTGATTATAACCTATATATTGCATTTAATAGAATTTGAAAAATTAAGAATGTGTATTAATTAAGTCATCGTAAATATAGAACAAAAAAAATTTTCTAAATTTAGATTATCCCGCCTGCCTTTATTAACTTTATGAAAATCGGATGCGAGTGAAAAAGTTTGTCATTCAAATGTATCAGACGCGGATAACGTCCATACTAATTCTTTTTAATAATATATTTGCTTTGTTAAGAAGTAGACTTGTATTTGTAGATTTATTAACGGTACCCATATATTGTTATCTTATGAAAACAAATAAATAGGTAGGTAATAAGAGTTTGTCGTTTAACCGGCTGTAAGATATACATTTTATTTTCTAGATCAAAACGTCGGCATGAACAACAAATGAA